CTATAACAGTGTAAATGTATAACATAGTTTGCCTTTTTGTTTTATTTTTAATTTACATGTATGTATGTGTCTGTGTCTGGGTATGAGTTCATGAGTACAAGTGCTAACCAAGGCCAGAAAGGACACTGGATTCCCTGGAGCTGGAGTTATAAATAGTTGTGAGCCAATTTTGGGAACTGAATTCAGGTAAGGGTTTTAACCATTCAGGTAATACTTTAAACCATGAGCCATCTCTCCAGCCTACTATTTTCTTACAACATAAGTTTGATCCCTGGGTTTCACATTAGTGGAAGGAGAACTAACTCTCATATGTGACTGTTCTGACTTCCACATATGGCATGTGTATGCCCATACACATAAACATACTATCTAATCTTGGTACTGAGGAAGCCCTAGAACAATATACCTGATACAATCTCAAAATTGCTTAGTGGATACTAAAAAAAAAAAAAAAAAACAAGGCCTGGGAACCTGAGTGTAGATCCCCAGAGGTTTTCATAAAACTGAGAGGTATGGCAGCCTGCCTGAAATCCTAATTCCCAGGATGTGGAACCAGAGGACCCCTAACAGGCTGGCCAGCTAGACAAACTGAACTGGCAAGTTCTCAATTCAGTGAGAGAGACTGCCTCAGTAAATTAACTAGAGAGCAATTAAGGAAGACACCTAATGTTAACCTCTGACCTCTACAAGCATGTATACACAGTGCACGTAAAGGGGTGCGTGTGCTTGCACAAAGAGTTCCCACTAAAGGGAACAAATGCTTCTTAGGCACATCTTCAATTTCAGGTCTGAGGAAGAAGTATGCACGATGTACTTGAGGGATACGCAGAACAGAAAGCTATTTAAAACTGGGATCAAGGGCTAGAGGTTAAGAGCACTGACTGCTCTTCCAGACGTCCTGAGTTCAATTCCCAGGAACCACATGATGGCTCACAACCATCTGTAATGAGATCTGGTGCCCTCTTCTGGTCTGCAGGAATACATGCAGGCAGAAAGAACACTGTATACATAAGTAAATAAATCTTAAAAAAAAAAAAAAAAAACTGGGACCGTTTCAAAAGCCTAACCCTTTCTAGTCAGTTAAAAAACCACTGGATAGAATTTCCACATGTAAAATAATTTGTGAGTTCATGTTAGAAAACACATGTGTCAACCCTAACTTTGAAAATGAGCAAAGAAACCCAAGTAATTATCTTGACTTCCCTATGCAAACTATATACACAGGTAATATAATTGTAAATACCTATGAACATGCCGTAGTCCAAGTTGGAACTGGAAGGTGAGGCCAGAGCCCGGCAGGCCTCACTTAGCACTGAGACCCTGGAACTAGACTGCCAGCAATTCAGAATGTTTAATAATAGAAGGGCAAGTGGCCGTACAAAGTACCAGTGCCCACAGAGGACTAGGATCTCAGCAAATGGAAAAGACCAGATTTATGGAGATATACACTTGTGGGGGATTTTTCTAGATTAAATCATTTAAGGTGGGGAAACCCACCCTAAATCTGGGCCACACCTTCTTGTGGCAGCCCATATAAAAGGACACAGAAGGAAGCTTTTGCTTTTTGCCTGCTTGCCCTCACTATCACTTACAGTCATTTATCCCGCTATTGAAGCACTCCTTCCTCACTGGCATTAGAGCCCACTTCTGGATTCAAATGTGGACTAAAGGTCAGATGAGACATCCCACGTTGTAAATGAACAACTAATGGATTCTTAGCCTTTCAGTCAGGAGACAGCCACCGTTGGACTAGCCAGACCATAGTCTATAAATCACTCTAATACATCAATCCCCTTTAATACACATTAAGTTCATTCCATCAGCCCTGTTTCTCTAGAGAACCCCAACTAATGCAACATGCATTAAAACTGAGCCCATCTATTTTAGTATTGCCTTTGTTTACTGAGACACGAACTCACACTGTAGCCCAGGCTGGCCTCAAACTTGTGTCAATCCTATTTCAACCCCTAGACTACAGATATAATGTGAGCCATCATGTCTGACTTTTCTTTCCTTAACCCCATTCAGCCTGAAACTAAGATTTAGCCATATTGATTAAAAATATAAAACATACTTGTTGAACCAACTACTGTTCAGAATGGAGGAAGTCACAGAGACAAGTGAATAGATGTTTGTTCCCCAGCCTGTGGTCCTCATATGGAGGCCATCACTACATGGTGTCCAGGGAATACTGGAACATCTGCTTTCAGGAGAGACCAGGTTTTTAGAGACAGGGTTCCTCTGTGGCTTTGGAGGCTGTTGTGGAACCAGCTCTTGTAGACTAGGCCGGTCAAGAACTCAGAGATCTACCTGCCTCTGCCTCCCAAGTGCTAGGATTAAGGAGTATGCCATCAACACCCAGCCCTGGCTCCCATTCTTGGAGCTGCCATATTGGTTTTGGTCACAATCAACAAGTGGAGAAATGGCTGGAATAATGGCTCAACGGTTAAGAGCACTGGCTGTTCTTCCAGGGGTCTTGAGTTCAATTCCCAGCACCCACATGTTGGTTCACAACTGTTTGTAACTGTAGTCCCATGAAATTCAATGACCTCTTCTGGTGTGCAGACATACATGCAGACAAAATATCTATATACATAAATCTTTTTTAAAAGGGACGGGGATGTTGTAGGGAAGCCACCTGTCCTTCCTAGAGTCATAGTCTTCTTCCCCAAGCTCCTGTTGCTAGGAAGGAGGTACATTTTCTAGCCCCTACCTCTCCCACAGCTTTGGTAGATGGTTAGACATTTTCTAGTACCTTCTCCCTCCATACTTCTTCAATCACCAGGCCTTCCTCCCTGCCTAACCTACACTCTGGATGCCAAGGTATGTTACTAAAGGGTGCCAGCCCTGTCCCTAGATAGCCAGCAATTCGTGTTTGCTCATCTGTGGCCTTATCTAAGATCAACACTAGCACCTCCTGCCTCCAGAGGCTTCCAGAGACCAAGTAGACAAGCCTCATATCTCAGCCAATGCCTGATCACCATGCACAGGCTTTCTGTCCTCCCAGACTGGAGGGCTGCAGGTGCTTCCTCACCACCTCCAACTTCAGCTCCTCTGGGCCCCAGGGTCAAATGGTTTCTAAGTTCAGGTGGGTGACAGGGCTATGAAGGTGCCTGGTAATATAGTTATGCTAGGCCTAAACACAGAATTTCAGCTACCTTGCCAGATGGTCTTTCACTTAGTGAAGGTACAACTCAGCCAATGCCTCACCTGTCACTAGAGTCCCCACAGGGCCCAATTTCTCCCAAGACGATCTAGTAGGTCAGGTTGTCATGGGGCCCTGAATCATTTTTTCTGCTATCAAGGGCCCCTTAACCGGACATCCACCCACTGTGGCAGCAGGGACAGGTCGGAGAGCAGTGCTTCTATAATCAGAAGGCTGCCCTGCCCCAGGTAGATATCTATAGGCCTCAACCCTCAGGACATCCTATTTTTCTTTGCTTTGTTTTCTGAGACTGGTTTCTCTCTGTATAGCCCTGGCTGTCCTGGAACTCATTCTATAGATCAGGCTAGCCTTGAATTCAGAGATCTACCTGCTTCTACTTCCCAAGCGCTAGAATGAAAGGCATGCACCAACCACCACCCAACCCTATTTTTCTCAAGAGCACTACAGAAGAATATCCAACTACATGAAACCCTCTAGAAGTTGCCAGTCCTAAGGCCAACACAATTTGCCATATGTGTATCACAGCCATGGGCATGGATCAACACAGCTGCCTCCTGTGGGCCACATTATCAGTTATAAAGTATTCCCACTCTGTTCTCAAAGAACTAGCAGATAAGGGGAGGGGATCTTTGTGGGAAAATTTCCTAGAACTGTTTGCTATAGGTCTCCTATCACCAGGTCCATCTCATCTGTTCCTCCACAATGGGCATTCCTTGTCTTAGGGCCTTGATACCTGCCAGAGGACAGAGAGGCAAGCTGCCAGGTTAGCAAGCACCAGATTGGGCTAGGGTATGGCTCGGTGGAAAATGCCTACCAGGTACAAGGCCCTGGGAACTATGCCCAGCAGTCCAAAACAAAAACAAAAACAACAGTAAAACCAAACAGTCACCTTATACCACACAGAAGGCCAATAAAAAGCATGGCTACCAGGTGAGCATTCCCCCATACTCACTCCTAAAGAGAACAGTTCAGCCTATCTTTGGGAACACGAACACTATGTGATCGTATGTGGAAGCCAGAACAACTCAGTGGCAGGGCAAAGCTGAACAAAATCTTAATGCTTTCCTGGTGTCAACACCATCTCACATGGAAGGGGGCAAGCCAAGGTCATACCATAATTAAGCCAGATCTCAGAGCTGCCAAGACTCTTCCAGGGCCAAGCCCACATGGGTACCACAGAAACATCAGGAGCTGGTATCCCAACAGAAGCCAACTTCGTACAATACCTCTCAGGGTCCCTGACTGCCACTGTTGTTCTTCAACAGTGGGGAGGAGAATATTAGTTCCCAAGGAATGCAATACTGCCCACACAAAGTAGACAGCCTCAAAGATAAGGCTGCCGGATCTGACAAACACAAGGCTTCCTATATAAGGAGCAGTCAGGCAGCAGACACCACATCTTCAGAGGCATTCCAGGTAGGCTCTCTGTGTTGTCTTTGTGTATGTGTGTATGTGTATGCACAACCATATGTGCTCATAGGGGTCTAAATTACTCACTACTAGCCATTGATTTACTTTCTCTGGGTATCAGTGAGCTCACTGAACAAAGGGGACAGTGGACAACCTAAATTTAGTTTGGCTGCTGAGACAAAGCTGGACAAAGAACTAATTAGCTCCATCATCAGGCTCATGCCTTCTAGCACACTATACTCTGCCTCAATAGTTTAGAAAAGGCAGAGTTCAGCCTTCAGCTCTCCTACACTTTTAAGACAAGAGAGCCTTGCTTCACTCAGCAGTCCCCATTCCAGGTCCTACCCTTCCTTCTAGATTTTTGGGTTCCAACCTAAGCAAAATCTAAGACATATCATGGAGATGAAGTATGTTACCAGAAGACCCTCTCTCCCCAGGAAAATCTGTACCCACCACCAAGGACATGCTGTCTTCAGGGACCATCTGCAGTCTGTTACTCCTCAGTGTGCTCTGGATGGATGTGGCTATGACGGGCTCCAGCTTCCTGAGCCCAGAGCACCAGAAAGCCCAGGTAAGCCTGTCTCCACAAGCCCCATATCCATCCTAACTTAGGGTCTGTTCCAGCCCTATGACCCAGCAGCAGTGGCTCCATCTCTCTGGCCTTCAATCCTTCTCACAGCATAAGGGAGGCCTCAGGATGTGACCCAATTCTGCTTTTGAAAGAAAATGAAGATTTAAGACCCTAAAGAGAAAACCTCACTCAAGCATAGTAGTGCACACTATAATCCCAACATTGGGCGGTAAAGGCAGATGAGTCTCAAATTCAAGGCCAGCCTGGGCTGAGACTATCTCAAAAAAAAAAAAAAAAAAAAAACCTAAAACTAAATCTAAATTTCAATAAATAAATAAATAAAAAGACCCTCGTTTTTCCTTTCTAGCAGAGAAAGGAATCCAAGAAGCCACAGGCCAAACTGCAGCCACGATCTCTGGAAGGCTGGCTCCACCCAGAGGGCAGAGAACAGACAGAAGGGACAGAGGAGGAACTGGAGATCAGGGTTGGTACCCAGACACCAGCATGTTCTTGTGACAATAATGGAAGTTGGGTGGGATAGGGTAGAATACAAGCTAAAGGCATGGCTTTTCAAGTTACTCATGAATTAAAGAGTTCAGCAACAACAGCTCTGCAAGGGGGTCAGGTCTGTGGCACAAGAGTTAAATTTCCACAGGTAACTATGTTGCAAGGGTAGTAAGGGAGCAGCCAGGAGCAGCAAAGATGTTAGAAGCCTCCAGGGGACCATAAAGAGCCAGAAAGCACAAATGGAGAGGCACAGACAGAACAAAGTTTTTGTCTATCCCAGGGCCTCTTAGGCCTACCCTGGTTATGGAGAGGTAAGTAGGCTGCTAGTGAAGGCTGGCTAGCTCATACACCACTAGCCTAATGGAGTTAGTTTTGTTTTGAAAATTTTTGCATGGGATAAAGAAAAAACACTAACAACTCAAGGATTGGGAGAAAGGAATAAAGGAACCCATAGGTGCCTCTCAGCAGCTCACCTGGGATTCCCCTGGAAACTGTAAGTAGCATTTGGCAGTACCAGTCCCTATACTGTGTGTCCACATGCAACTTCATCTTCAAACACCGCAACCACGATTAACTGGGCAGCAGGGGGGGCACAACCTAATTGATAGGCATGTGCTCTGTCAAGTGTCACATCCCCAGTCCTGTTCTACCGTTATCGTGGATTACTTACTCTTTTAAAAAAAAAAAAAAAAACCCTGTAAGCTAAGCAAGGCTGGCATCATTAGCTAAACTTTACAGATAAGAAAACAAGTTGAAAGGTGAAATAACCAAGGCTGTCAGGTCTGGGTTTCCTTCCCCCATCCTCCTCTCTGGTCAAGGGCCAATGCCAAGATCACCAAATTCATAGTCTGACCCTCTGGAGCCTGAGTGTCTTCTCGGACCCTTGCTCCACAGGAAGTGTGACCCTGAAAACTACTACTCTGGCTCCTCAAGGTTCCTTCACTAACTTGGCATGGACACAATCTTGAGACAACAAGGTCCACAATGAGCAGATGGCTACCCCAGCCACAAGAGTCCTGCAATTAGTTCTTATAGGAAAGAAATCTTAGCACAGGGCCAGGATTAAACATTTCCTAATTCCAATGACCCCCAACATCTGGCCTATGTAGCAAGTATTAGGTACAAACAGATGAGAGAAGCCTGCAGCATGCTGGGCACAGAGTATGACCACTGCTTACCCTGTTTGGGGTTCCATCTTTCCTCAAAAGTTTTCTCTCCAAAATCAGGTCTATAGACAGAACACCAACTATCTCCACCACACTAAACAGATGGACACTGAATCAAGGAAGGGACTTTCCCAGGTTGTATGAGAACCAAATGTTGCTACCTCACATGCCTCTGACCATTCAGTACTAGGGTGTCAGCCCTGGCATTGCCCCTAATGGGTATATGCTTTTCTTCCATGATAGTTAGGTGGTCTGACCAGCTTGCACAGACAATGGAGCATGAGAAGAAAAATTAACATTTGCTGAAGAGAAGGCTAGAAAGGCCCCACATCCCTAAAAGTTACAGCACTCCCCATCCATGCTGCTTCCTACTCATACTTCCTATAGGCCAAAATAAACCATCCACCTGATGCCTAGTAGCCTGACAGAGCCTGTGCCCATGCCAAGCAACAACTTGGGCATAGGCAGATTTCAGAGTCTTGCTTTCTAAATCCTTCACTATCACCTATGTAACACAGAGAGATCATCCAGGCTCTCGGTGCTTCTGCCCTGAGGGCAGGGATAGTACCAGACCAGTTAGCATTCCCCACTGACTAAGATCACATTCACAGACCACTCAGATACCCAGGTGACCAACATAGCCAGGCCTTCCTGGGAGAGGTGGATGTTTGGGGCAGGACAGGTAGGATAAGGCCTCAGGCCCTCTCAACTCTACTTCCTAGTTCAACGCTCCCTTTGATGTTGGTATCAAGCTATCAGGAGCTCAGTACCAGCAGCATGGCCAGGCCCTGGGGAAGTTTCTTCAGGACATACTCTGGGAAGAGGTCAAAGGTAAGTCAATCTGAAATGTAGCTTCTCATCTTCCTCATTACCTATGGGAAAGGATGCTGAACTGGTACACGTGGCAGCCCAAGGAACAAGCTACATTCTTTCCTTAAGCACTCCCTCACAAATATGGCAATCATACATATATAACCATATAAATGTATAAAGCCAAGATTGGGGGATATAAGGACACTTACCCAAAAGCACACAGTCCACACTCAAATGCTATCTTCTAAGTCCAAGGCCAGTGATCCCCACCCCCATCAGCACACACTTGCTTCCAGCATACCATGATTAAGGAAAGCAAATTTGATGACATGAGCCAGATGGTGAACCTGAAGACTGACTTGACCTCTTGCTTTTCAGAAGCACCAGCTGACAAGTGACTACTGACAGGACTGGCCCACTATGAGTTCCTCCTGAGTAAGAACTCACATCCAATCTTAGGCTCCGCTGCAACTCCCAGCATTCTCCTACTATCTTAAGAATAAAAGCTCAAGCTGTGTGCCAAATGTTCAAAATAATTATTTTCATAAACATGGTAAAATTTATATTTTACTTAAAAATACTGAAACAATGCTTTAAGTTATGACCCACAAAAAAAAAGCTACAGCAAGGCAAGAGCATGCTTGAAAACCAAAAGAATCCTTGCTCATTCCAGCAATAAGATAGCAGAAGAAATATAAAGGTGGGGCTTGGAGGCCCACAAACAGTTCACCACATAGCAGAGCTTCCTGAGTAATTAAGAGCTACACTAGGATTTTCAAAAGAGCCACCAATGGCTGCATTCACAAAGATACCAGGTGACAGTATCAGAATCAACACACTCAAGACCTGTCTGGGGTGATCAGAATGGGTGCTTGACAATGGCTCTTGACCATACAACACAGAGCTAGGTAACCACATTCTCCACTCTTCAACTCTTGGAGAAGTCTGGCAAAGCAAATGTCCCATGTCCTCAAGTCTGGCCACCACCTGATACCAGACAGATGTCCCAAAATATTTTCCAAACTCTAGGTCATAGCTCTTGAACCTTGATCCTCAAGTCTTACCACTGTAATTTTAGTTGAGACACTAAGAATATTACTCACACCTTACGGCAAAGATTTAGACCATGTCCCAAAGTCCAGTGATTTTACAGGAGACCCATTAATTCCTTGTGCACCCAGTGAGCACGAGGATTAAAGAGGGAGGATACCCAGTGTTGCCCAGACAAGGCAATACTGCTGCAGCACAAGTCATGTACCTGCTCAAGGGAAGCCCTGACCACCAGAACCCAAGGCATGAAGTGACCAGGGATGAACACACTTGGCAGGCACTATAAAATCTAAACACATCCCTGTCAAGGAGATATGATGCCCTCACTATTCCATCTGGTAACTCCTTACAAATGAATGCACAGCCCCACTCCAGAGAATCCCGTAACAAAGCCCCTAAGTAGCCTGGTGTGGTGGCACACACCTTTAACCCCAGCATTCAGGAAGCAGAGGCAGGCATATCTCTAGGAGTTCGAGGCCAGCCTGATCTACAAAGTGAGTTCCAGGACAGCCAGAGCTGTTACAGAGAAACCCTGTTTTGAAAAATCAACAAAAAACAAAAACAAAAAAACAAAGCCCCAACCTATGACTTGCTTAGACATCCCAGGATCCTGATCAAACAACACAGCACACAGAGCCAGGTGGCTGTGGGGTCCTTGGCAAACATGGAAACAAGGAGACACACAGATGTCCGCTCTGCTGCTAAGTTTTTGCCAACTTGACACAAGCTATTCATCATCTGGGAAGAAGGACCTAAACTAAGAAAATGCCTCCATCAGATTTCTTGTTAAGCAAGTCTGTGGGGCATTTTCTTAGTTAATGATTGATGTGGGAAGGCTCAGCCCACTTCAAGCAGTGTCACCCCTAGGCAGGCAGGTGGTCCTGGGTTATAAGAAAGCAGGTTGAAAAAAAAAAAAATAAGCAATAAGCAGTATTCCTCCATGGTGTCTGCTTGAGTTCCTGTCCTGGCTTCTCTCAGACTGTAACCTGTGAGCTGAAATAAGATAAACCTGCCTCTTCAGTCAAGTTGCTTTTGGTCAAAGTGTTTTATCCTAGAAACACAAAAACTAACGCTTTCAGCTTCTCATTTTCTCTTCCATCTTTGCAATGCTCACCGGTATCAATTAGGTCTATCCCTAAGATATGCAATAGCACCAATGCCCTGCTGCCTTCCTCAGGTCTGCTGTGACCTCAGAACGGCACAGGTATAAGATTTTTGTCACAAGTAACCACTGTAACTTACTGGAGAACAGAAATGAAGGAAGAAACTTAGCAAATGCAGGAAAAGAATGTGAGTGAACAGTTGTTCACAAGATGCTTGGCTCACCAAAAATGAGTACTTATTTCTCTTTCTTCTGCCAGAGCCCTTCAAGAAGCAGATGCTGAGCACACTCTGGCCAAACTCTTACCTACCAGGTGGTTCAATGTGGGCATGAGACTACAATCCACATCAAAACCCTGCACTTCCCTGGCTCCTCCCTGTCAGTCACTGCAAAAACCCAGCATCTGTCACAAGGGTGCCTGGAGAACAGTCACACACTTATGCTAATAGCAACCATTTTGTCATCCTACTGTGTATATTCAAACAGATGAGTTTAATTTCTGTTCATTTTCACAGTAAATCTACTTATGAGAGAATTCAGAGAAATGATATTAACTCTTCCAAAGTCACACAACAAATACCTGAAGACTCATAACCAGTCTCAGAATTGAGGCATGTGGCTTTTCCATCTTAACTCTGCTCCATTGACCCAACTGCCAAGGATCCAGAGTGTCATAACCGTTTTCAGTGCTGGAGATAAACCCAGGGCCTGTGTATGCTAAACAAGTACTCTACCAGGAAGGTAGGGCCCTCCTTTGGTTTTTCATTTTCCTTGATAATTCATGAAGTGAACCTGAGGGGGAAAAGAAACTTTCAAGTTAACAACTGGCAGAAATAAAACATATCCAAGCACACAGTACCAAGAAAATATATCTTTCTAAACATGTTCCTGCAACAATCTTCTTCTTCTTTGCTCATGGTTCTTTTGTTTGCTTGCCAAATCACCCATGGTTGGTGGCTTTGAACTGTCAACACCCCTGCCTCTGCCTCCCAAAATCTGGAACTGTAGACATAGATCATGGTGCCAAGGTCCCTAGATCAGTTTTTTTTCTTTTTTTTGGGGGGGTGAAGGGTGGGAGAGTGGGGGGATGTAGATTTCAAAACAGGGTCTCTCTGTGTAGCCCTGGCTGTCCTGGAACTCACTCTGTAGACCAGGCTGGCCTTTGAAGTGGAAGCAGGTAGATCTCTGAATTCAAGGCTAGCTGATCTATAGAGTGATCAGGTGGTCCCCTAGTTGTACAAGGAGACAAACTAAGAAAACCATTCGAAACCACTAAGTAGTGTTCCTCCATGGCCTCTGCTTTAGTTCCTACCTGACTTCCTGTCCAGACTACCTGATTAATGGATTGTAATCTTCAGGTGAAATACACCCCTTTCTCCCTACATTGTTTTTAGTCAATGTTTCAACACAGCAGTAGAAAGCAGCACATAGAATACCATGTTACCAAGTTGACTGGACTAGCCTCCTGTATCACTCAGCCAATCTAAATACACAAGGTGAGCATGGGATAGGAATTAAGGGATTACGGAACCATCCCTTTACTTTCATTAAAGAGAAGGCCAGAGTCGGAGAAGAGATGAGGAGGAATCTGGGCAAGGTAGTCACCTCCAATTTGGTGTAGTAGTCAGTAGTAATGCCCAAAAGTGAGGCTAGTAGTACTCTCAAAGATACCAAGGGCCTGCTGCAGAAGAAATGGCTACGGTATAGCTTGAGTAACAATAAAGTAGTGCGGCAGACTGAGCAGACCCAAGTCTTCCAAACAGGAAGCCAAATCCCCTGTTCTTCCTACAGTGACAAATATGAAACATAGGCAAAACATAGTTGACAAGGGAGGTGAATAGAGATGAAAGCTATTTCCCAGACCTAACACTGAATTCCAGGGTTAGGTGGAAAGACCAGACAGGCAATAATCACATCACCTATTTTACCTCACAAGGTTCAAGAGCACTTTATAAAGACAAAAAAGTCTCCTAGAAGAACCCACTGTTAAGTGCTGAGCTATACAACTTAATCCTTCTGGACCAAGAATAGGGTCAGCACCACCTCCAGGGCCTGAAGAAACTCAACAAGGAATCACAGAGACTAGAACAAAGCCACCAATTTAGATCACACACTGCTCAAATGAAGGCTCCTAAAATACAAACAGGACACAGAAAGCAGCCAAGAGAGAATAATTTCACCTAGATTCTAGGCTGCTTACTCAGCACTAGCAATCCAACATGGCCAAACCCCCTAGTAGGCTCTGGGGATGGAATGGCAGCATGGGGTTCGGAGGGGATGAGGAACGGAAACAGAGAGACTGAGAAGTGTAAAAGGAGGAAAATACTGTTTTATGAGATGATACAAAAAGGGACCCAGATGCTCAGCTACCTGCCAAAGGAGGCTTTACTGAAGGAGGACCCTTTATATCCTCTGGGGTTCAGCTATCACAGGAAGGCCTCTTCTCTTCCTTTAGTCCTCACAGGGCACATCATTACAAAGCAGCGGGATCATAAAGACCAGCACCTCAGACACAGAATTAGTGGCAACCATGGAGAGAATGCCTGGAAGACTACTTCGAGGAAGCTCCTTTCACAACAGAGCAGCAGGGACCAGATTACACAACCACATGTGCTAAGACAAAGAAGTGACTTTATTTAGATTGCTGGGAAACACAGGCCATTGGGCCGGTATCCAGGCTGGCTAATTCATTATACTCATATGTCACAAACGTTTTTGTTCACTGATTACCCTGGAGTTGTATGGCCAGCAGGCAAAACTACCCCTCTCCCTAACCCATTCCACAGTACCCATCCACCAAACAGCACACGAAGCCTTGTGATTAGGTTCCAAGGGTAACATCCTGGTTAGCTGAGTTTTGACAGGCTCTCCAACACATCTTTCACCTTGGACACAAGCAGATGGAGCCCATCCTAAGCTATCAGGCCACTGGTCTTCCTAGAGGGTTTAAAAAAGAAAAGGTTTCAAGTTCAAGCTCAACAAACCAGGCTTAATATCAACCCTAAACTTACATTCTTTTTTAAAAAAATTATTATTGTGAATATTCATGATTGAGGAAGCATGCATGCCACAGCAAGCATCAAGGTTAGAAGACAACTCTATGGAGTTGGTTCTTTCACCTTTATTCAGGTTCTAAGGCTCATCAGTTTACCAGGCTTGTACAGTAATTGCCTTTACCCACTGAGCCACTTACTGGCCTTTAATTTACTTTCTCTACCAGGTATGTTCAATCTTTAACACTATAAAATAACAAGTCATCTAGAAGTTCACATGTAAGGAGCAAGCAATCTAATTACAAAATATGTAAACCTCAAAGTTAAAATAAGTTTATGGACTTGCATTCAACTGTATTGGTAACTTCCGTT